CCCCAAACTTTTTGGTGCCACAATCAGCAACACAAAAGCAGAGTGGAAGAAACACAGGTGATTCACTACTGGAACACAGTTCTTATAGCGTAGAGAGGTAAATCTAATACATCTCGACAGCAGACAGAGTTAAAGCATGGAGTTTTAAAATAAATGCACTGACAAGAATACCAATGATGACCAGCACTGAGAGCTTTTGGGGAGGCAGCAACATGGGGACAGTGAGGGATTATTTTGTTCCTTTTTGTACTCTTAGAATTTTGAACTACATGGATGTATTATTACTCAAAATAGAAGTTAAATTTTTAAATTAAAAATAAATAATACTTATCTTAAACTAGATTGAGTTATTTAAAAATTTGAACAACATACAAATCAGGACTCAGTATTTTCAGTTTTAATATAGTACCTCCATTTTATGACATGCATGATTGTTCCATAAAAAAAAGAAATCACAAATATCTCTTGAGTTTACTGAATGCCAAAGATAATCCCTTGATACCTCAATATTTTAAAGAGAAATTAACAGAGGGTTTTTTCCTAAGTTGGAGACAGTAAACATATCAATGAGACAAGTTGTACAAAGTATATTTTACTTATAATCATGCTCTAGAAATGTAAGTATATATGAATCCATGACATGTATATACAAGATAAAACAGACAGAGTAAGTTAAGGTTTATCTTAATCAAACATCCTGAGGTTGTACTTTCATAATATTTGAAATCAGAGAAAGAAATTGGAGCTTGAGATATTACTAAAAAGTTCTTAATAAACTTTACAGCATATGTTTTCTTCTAACAGGATAGTGAAAAGGAACTAAATTATCGAACACCTATGTGGCTTAGTGCTAGCTAAATGCTTTCATATGCTGTCACATTCAAGTTTTACAATCCCGTGAGGTACGTATTATTCCTGTTTTACAAGTGAGAAAACCAAGGCTTCAAAGAGGCCACACATTTAAAGAACTGGTGGAGTACAAGATTCAAACCCACATCTGTCTGAGATCAAAGTCCATGCATTTCTCTTCTGAAAATATGAAGCTAAAAAGGAAAGAAGTGTTACAAACTTCTTGGGTGAGCACTAGTTCCCAAATTATGTGAGACGAGAGAGTGATCTTGTGTGTGGCATATGCAGGGATGGCAAAAGTAGGTTTACAGTTGTGAAAAAGTGAGTTTATTCTTATATTATTACTATATATTAGTGATTTTATTATGTATTTGTATTATAACTGTAAACCGCCTTTGGTCCACCCTGTATTTGACAGGAATTTCAATTGGAGAATGGCCTGATTTATCGTATGTGCCTTAGAAGACAATACGGCGGCAGTGTACACAATGAACTTGGAGGAAAGAACAGACACAGGGAGACCGAGCAGAAGCTATTTCCAGTTACCCACTGGCAGAGACCTTTTGTCTTATTTCAGCTTTTCCCTCCTTTTTTTAGCTGCCATCACCACAGGAAACATCAAAGTGTTACAATATACTCCTAAACAACATGTTTTTCCCCCCATATCATTTTTCCTCTAAAGACAGCTCAGTTAATTCATTCAGTGAGTTGGTCCAATGATTTTATAGTCAAAATTAACCACATTTCCTTTATCAATATTCAATCTTTAAACAAATATCTGGTTAAAAGAATACTCCATTAAAAAATATTCTGGTTATTTATGTTGCATCATAACTTAATGTAGTAACATTTGAATAAAACCTAAATTTTAAATCCTTATTTATGGTATCAGTCAACAAATGTGTTAGGTACACAAGTGAACAAAACATTCTCCTAGTGATATGTGAGCTTGTCCTTTTTGAAAGGTCAACATAACACAGAAAAGTTATCAATGAACCAGCAAAAGGGACATTTCTCAAATGAACACAAAACCTTTCACCTAAAAACAAAGGGACCTTAAAATAATGGTAGGTAAAAGGAAACCACAAAAATCTAGTACAACAAGAATCTGAGGGTCTGAATTCTCCTAAAGCCCCATAAAACTCTAGAGGACAGTCTAGACATGACTGTCTAGAGGACAGTCATTAAACATGAAAAAGTCAACAAGATTCTAAAAAGTGACTTCCTATAAGAATGGGTCCCGATTTCCATGATGGTGGGAAAGACCTGCCAGGTCCCCTGGACCACTCCTCTGGAGCAGGGACCAGCTTGAGAAGGAAACAGGCGAGGAGGCTGCTGGCACCAGAGGAGAGAAGAGCCGGGTCAGCAGAATTGTAGCCAACTCCACAGTTGAATCGCATTTCCTACATTAACTCCAATAATACTTCAGAACTGTTTAAGTCAGACATTGCTGTTCACATCAACACAGGATAAAAGCAAATCAGGATTTGACATAACAATACCTACTACAAAAGGTATCATACCAAAAACATTTTGGTGATAGGTATTTGAAATAAGAACAAGCATTCTTACCTTTCACAGAACCACCCTGGGCATGCTGAGGAGTGGAGAGTCTAATACCATTCATTCTACTATTCAATCTGTTGTCAGTTTTCTTAATTTTCTCCCTAAATCAAAAGTATACAAGTTGCCAACATTTTTTATAAGGTTCTGCAGAGAACACATTAAGTACAGTAGTATTACTAAAATTCCCCTCAAAAAATATTTATAATGAAAAAAAAATTTAGTAAGGTATAATCTAAAAGCAGGATTTAGCGTACAGTTCTGAGAGCTTTGCCCCTCCAAACTGAACATAATACCTGGCAACACCTTCATTTTTATTGCTTGCATATATTGATTATTTTGAACAAAAAAAATTAAGCCCAGAAATAAAAATATAAAGTAAACTAATGGCGAAATACTATGTATACTACATAAACTAAACATGCCCATAATCAAATGCTATACGTTGCCCTTTCTTACCAACTTCTATTACTGGAGACACTGAATTGAACCTACTTTTCTATCTGTGGCTTTCCTTTCTTCTTATTTATTGAAGATAAGCTTCGCTTTTCAGTGGAATGCTGTGGAGAGAATAAAAAGAAATTAAACACTAAGCTAACCCTCAGTTCTGCAGGTATCCTCTTATTCTGACGTCAGCATTAAAATGGCACAGTCCCACTTGTATATTCTAATAAATTGATTTTCAACCTATTTTTGAAGTTACCTACCAGAACCACTAAAATTTTTATATTCCCTGACAAGTATTTATTATTATTAATCATGAGAAAAATATCTATTTAGTATTTTGCTTTTAAAGTGGACCTGTATTCTTCCTTCTGACCACATAAAACAATCAAGTAATTGGTACTTGCTATAGGTTTACTAGTGTTTTCTTAAAGTTCAGGTTGAGAAAACTGCAACACATGACTTTGTCAACTGTAACAAGAAAAGGTGCACAGGTACCGAAGTGGAGGTAGACAAGTATAAACGATGTACTCTGAAAATGGGCCATTAAATAAGTATGGCTAAGATAACATACAACTTCTCAAAATATGCTTTAATGCTTAAGCTCATAAAAACACACTCCAGTAAAGGTTAAAGTTTGGATCTGAGTGTTGTCCAGAAATAAAAATCAGGTTAACAAATCTATGCTCTAGAAAGTGGTTCTCTCTATGGCTGCACCAGCAACCACTCCCCCTGTATCTGTGGTGCCCAAATTACCTGAACACATTTGAGAGCACTGTGCTTTCCAATGCCACCAATCCCTAAGGAAGCAGGGATGTCCTAATTACACTCAAGAGGGCCAGTAAACTGGCCCAACTACTCATGAGGGAAGGTCAGTTTCAAAATTCACATCACCAGTAGCAATCTAATGACAGAAATGTGAATAATTCTTTCAAAAGCAAAAAACTGACATAACAATTTAATGTATCCCTAGTTAGAATTAACGTTTTAGGCATCATATTAAAATGTACTAGTTTTTTGAACAATAAAAGTAATCTAAAACTTTTTCAGGTCTCAGAACAGCTTAGATCATATAAACCAACTAAATTTAAAGTCTAACAAACATTCCTTCAGCCCTTACCAGATATACTACCTGACATAATAATGCTTATAGAACTCGGCTCTTACCAAATAGCAATGCTTTAACAATATGGCAGGAAGACAAAGCAAAGGTCCCAAATACCTGGTCAGCTAAGGCCACACAGTGCTCAGGGTGCTGAATGGTGGTGCAGCTTTGGTTCCTCCAGTTCACAATGCCATTCTGTTCAGAATACTGCACACAGAGCCCATCCAATGGAGAACAACTTGTACCAATGGTGCTATTAAAAGGCAAGTTTATACAAGTATGAAAATCTGTCCTCAATCATCTAATCTACTGTATCATATAATGAAGAAGCTACAGTAACCCTTTCTTTAGTATATATAGAATACACTAAAGGAAAAACGTATATATACTATGAGAATAAACCACTATACAGCCATCTTATCTGTTTAATAATTAATCTCTGTCTCTAAGGAAACTGATAACAGATGCACATTCTGTCTTTAGACTATGCAATGGTCATCTTGCACCACTTATAGTCAGAGTGTAACCCCAATCTTGAGAGAACCACTAAGCACTGTGGATGTCTAAGGCATATGAAGGGACAAACAATGTAACTGAAAAAGAAACAGACTATAGAACCAGACGCAAACAGAATCCTGAGAATGAAGTTACTGTGTGTGGATGTGTAAATAATAGTGCTCAACAAGATGGAGAGTTTTGGAAGAATAGTGAAAAATACAAAAAAGATCCAAATTTAAATTCTAGAACTATAAAATGAAATAAAGTTAAATATGCAATGGATAGAAACAAATGAAAAAAAAATCAGTGAATAGTAAATAAGGTCAGAAGAAAGTAGACTGGAACACTGAGAGAAAAAAAATACAGAAAATGCAAAAAAAAAGTTCAAGAGATGTGGAACATGGTGAGGAGTCTAACATAAGTACTCCGAATCTTAAAAGAGGGAACAAGAGCCCAGCCGGGCATGGCTTAGCGGCTGAGCGTCGACCTAGGATCCAGGCGATCGGGGTTTGATTCCCGGTCAGGGAACATGCCCAGGTTGCGGGCTCGATCAATGACTCTCTCATCATTGATGTTTCTCTCTCTCTCTCCCTCTCCTTTCCTCTCTCTGAAATCAATAAAGATATATTTTTTTAAAAAAGAGGGAACAAGAGAATAGGGAAGAAGTAATATCTGACGAGATTAACAGCTTGGACTTCTCTAAAACCAAAAGGTATCAAGCTTCAGACTGAAGAAGCAGCATTCACTCAAAGAAAGCTACAGACATATTGTAGGAAAACTGCTGAAAACCAGACAATGAGAAAATCTTAAAAAGAAGTAAAAGTTTGAAAAGCACATTAACTTCCAAAGAGCAATACAAGATTAAACAATGGATGTCAGCTATCTTAAGTTTGAGTTCCCCCTAAAAGCAGAATCTGGAATGTCATAGTTGATTTGGGAGGTGACCCCAGGAAACAGGAGCAAGGAATGGGGAGAATGAAATAGGAGAGAAGACTAAACCAATGTGAGGGTCCATTACTGAGGGTGCTTCAATAAGCAACAGTGGCTCAAACCAGCTGCGACCTCCTCAAGTGATCTACCCAAAGGACAGGAAGCTTGAGGACTGACCCCCTCACCACAAGGCAAACTAACTTGCACTTCTAGACTATGCTTGTTGAGGGCCAAGTAGGCCCATAGAATCAGCAAAGGCCCTGAGGCAGAAGGTGAAACTTGTGGCATGGGCTTCCCGTGGAAGAGTTGTAATGTGAGGAGAGTCAGAAATCACATAAATGACTTTATGTGATCTGCAGCAGAAATCAGAGCTGAGCTGAGAAGATATGATGCAAGGGATCAAAGGCATTAGACTGGAAGACAGTAAAACTAAAGGCATACCTTGGAAATACTGTGGGCTCGATTCCAGACCACAACCATAAAGAGTATCACACAAATTTTTTGATTTCCCAGTGCATATCAAAGTTACGTTTATACTGTACTGTAGTCTATTAAGTGTGCAATAGCATTATGTCTAGAAACACAATGAACACCCCTTAATTAAAAAATAGTTTATTGCTAAAAAATGCTAACCACAATCTGAGCCTTCTGCAGGCTGTAATCTTTATGCAGATGAAGGGTCTTACCTTCAATTTGTAAAAGACAGAGTATCTGTGAAGTGCAATAAAACAAGGTATGCCCATATAGTTTCAAAGCGCTAACAGAAATAATTGCGAACCTAGAATCTTATACCCAGGAAAAATGTCCTCTAAAAATGAGGGCAAAATAAATATTTTTTACAGATAAAAACAAAGTAATTTCATCACTGGCAGATATGACTACAGAAGTACTTGAGGGTTCTTCAGTTAGACGGAAAACAATCATAGATGGATACCCCGAAAAACACAGGAAGGAATGAAAAACAATGGAATGGTCAATGCTAAATTAATAAAAAAAGGTTTCACGAGGTTTAAAATATAGACAGAATTAAAATGCATGACTGCTACAGTTTGTAAGTTGTGAGGAGATACGTGAGGTAACTGAAGATCCTCACATGATAAGTGGCACAAGGACAATTAATATCACTATTTATTTATTTTTAAATATATCTTTATTGATTTCAGAGAGAGGAAAGGGGAGGGAGAGAGAGATAGAAACATCAATGATGAGAGAGTCATTGATCAAGCCCGCAACCCGGGCATGTGCCCTGACCGGGAATCGAACCCCGATCGCCCGGATCCTAGGTCGACAGTCAACTGCTGAGCCACGCCCGGCTGGGCAATATCACACTTTAATAGGTCAAAGATGTACAATATAATTTCCAGGGTAACGACTAAAATAACAAAAAACAATGTATAACTATCAAGGCTAATAAAAAAGAATAAAAAATCACCCAAAAGCAGGGAGAGAAAACAAAACACAGAAAATGTACAATAAATAACAAGCAAATAGTAAAATGGTAGAATATTAGCCAACTCTTTATCAGTAATTAAAGTATATGAGACACTGATTTAAAGTACACACACATCTCTCCTTTTACAAATTAGATACCTACTTCACAGTGGGACTCTTCCCGGTGTGTTTCTTATGGATTATGGTGTGCTGTAACTCTAGAGTGGAGGAAAAACAATTTGTTATGCCAAATGCTTCTGCAAAAATCCAACAGGATCATGCAACTAATTGGAGTGACTATAACAGTTTTGACAGACCTTATAGAGCGCTTTTCACAGAAAATTCCTTAAAGAATCAATTTTTCAAAAGACAAAATAAATGACAATCTCCTTAAATATACTCTCAAATGTGTTCACCTAATAGTAAATCAATTCTGTCCAAAACTACGAGAGTTTACTATGACCATGCCACTGCAAAACTACAATACTCAATTTCAGGCTACTTTTTAAAACCATTAAAAAAATGAAGTGTCTCAAATATGAAAAATACATATTAGTATAACAAACACTCATGTGCCCACCTCCCAGATATCTCTATGTCTCTTATTAAGAAACAAAATATTACAGAAGCAACGGAAGGCCCTCTTCCGTTCCATTCAACTCCCTCTCTCTACCAAGATAAACTAGTGGAAATATTCCAGTGCCTGTTTTTATTTTAACTACCCGTAAATGTATTCACAAACACATACAGTGGTATTGCATTTTTGAATATACTGTAATTATTTTATATGCCATCTAGTAGGAATATGAGTATGTCACAATTTACTTATACCTTTATTAACATTTAAAGCATTTGGGTTAATATCCGTGTATTTGCTATTGGTACCTTGAGAACCTCAGTCCCTGTCCCCTGACACATGGAAAACTATTTTCATAGAAGCAGAATTGCCCAGCAGTAGCATAAAATTAATTACCTCCAACTTCACTACACGGTGTAAAATTTCTGTCCAAAATAGCTGACAATTCATATTCCCATCAGCAGATGAGAATTCCCATGACTTCATATCCTTGATGTCAGACAAAAAATGTTTTGCCAATCCAAAGAGTGTGAAATGGTATCTCGTTTTTATTTTTATAGTTTACTTAAATAATTTCTTTTTATTGAATTTATTGGGGTGACATTGGTTAATAAAGTTATATAGGTTTCAGGTGTACAATTCTGTATCATCTGTATATGTATTCCCCACACATCGTTTTTAATTTGCATTTTCCAGACTACTCATGAGGTTGAACATTGTTTAATGGCTTTCAAGTTTTTTCTTCTATAAATTGCCTATCTTTTGCAAATACTGCCAATCAGATTGATTTTCTCATTCATTTTTAGAAGACTCTTTCTATAGTCTGGACAGTCTTTATCTGTAAATATTCTGCAAATGTCTTCTAATCCTCTGATTTCTTGTCACATGTTAATTTCTAATTTAGATTAGAAAGATCTCCACTATGGTCATGCTTTGCCTTTTCAAGAAAGCCTTTTTGTCCCAGATTATGAAAGTTTAAAATTTTAAGTTTTATATTTTACATATTACATTAAGTTTATATGTTACATTTAATTTATCATTCACTTGTAATTTCTGTGCATGATATAAATAAGGAATTATATATATTTTTTTTATTGGAAAGCCAGCCGCCATTTACTGGATAGTCTGTTCTTTCCCCACTTATTTGTAATGCCACCTGTCACATTCCAAGTTCCCATATGTTCTGTTTCTCGGCTCCTTAATCTGCTCTAATGGTCTGTTTGCCTATCCTTGTTCCAATACCAGGCAGAAGAACTTATCCCAGTGAATGGACATTTACCTTCTTCTTGACTTGAAGCTTCTGAGCTGTCTTCTTTCAAGTGTTCTAATGTCTTGGAAGTCTTCAGAGAGGGTTGTAAGTTATCTGTAGGAAGTATGCAATGCCATTAACTTTTTAGGAAAATTATAATAGAGAGATAAAGAAAACAAATACAATGTCAGTTTTTCTCCCAAGGAAGATTAGAATGGAGAGTTAGTAGCAGAGAACATTTCTACTAAACAGGGCCTTTAATAAGCAAGATGACATAGCACAAAACATGGGACTGGGAATGGGGACCCTAATTTGTGGAGTCAGGTCTCCCCATAAAAACCACAGGACTGGAGCAAGCTGCTTCACATCTGCCTGCACCCCCTTCACACCCCAACCCCGCCTCCTCAAGTGCTTCTCAAATATCTGTAGTGTTGTAAGGCTTTTTAAAATGTCTAATTTGTTGTGGGCTGTTCCTTTTATAAAATACAAAAATAACGTTGTGCAATATCAAACTGCTACAAAAGACTCAGTGTCTATTCTCAGTTTCGTTCTTCTACTGCAGACCAGTGACAAGTCATTTCTGGATCAGCACCGACCCACAGAACACACTGTGATAGCACTGGGTTACTTCTCCATGTAAATACAGAAAATCCAGTGGGATTCCAGCGTTCAACATTTGAAGTCATTTATAAGTTTAACATTTGTTTAATCAGTTGGTAGGATATGGAATGTTGCTCTCTATCCCACAGGGGAAGAAAGGTAAGAGCTGTTATTTATCAGAAGAGCGAGTGCAAATGAACTCTGACAACATGTTCTTTGGTGAAACAGCTTGGACATCCTGACTGGATTGTCCATAATTTCAAATATGTATTTTAATACATTATTTTCACAACAACTTGGTATCTTAAAACAAAATCTACCAGCTTCTTTTGCAGTCATTGCCCACATCATTCAAATACTGCCAAGCTCTCAAGATGAGTTTTCTGTCATTTATGTATGTACTACTCACTTGGATGAGTTTTCCTCGGCAGCCTATTAAAATCTGAATTAAAAGTTTAACTTTGTGCTCCAATGCCTGTCAGGTGTGATTTACAAGTAATCAAAAAATACTTAAATTTGGTTTAAGCAGAAAGCACTGACTGTTAAATCTATAAAGCTCTATAATGACCAGGATTCTCTTTTTAAAAAGCTACTGCTGCCCTAGCCAGTTTGGCTCAGTAGTTAGAGCATCGGACCCCGGACTGAAGGGTCCCAGGTTCAAATCTGGCCAGGGGCACGTACCTCGGCTACAGGCTTGATCCCCAGCCCCTGTGGGAGGCAACCAATTGTGTCTCTCTCAAATCGATGTTTTTCTCTCCCTTCCACTCTCTTTGAAAAGCAATGGAAAAAATATCCTCAGGTGAGGATTACAAATAAATTAAAATTAAAAAGCTATTACCACTATTCAAATGTAAATTTAGCCACAGAGTTGTTAATCCTGTCTTAGTCTATTAGTCATGAAGAGTCATTAATTCTAATTGCTACTTATCTGTTTAAAATATTTAAGGCATATATGTACACACACACAAATGACTTGAAAACTTTCAAAGTTAACCTATATGTTATGATATTCAATCATGTTTTTTTTTTTACCTTTCTTTCCCACATATTGAGAAAATATGTATTTTCTTTCCCCTTTATAGGAAAACATGACTTTTTTGAAAGAAAGAAGATTTAAAAAAGAAAACCAACTTAGCCACTTGTGATAGTGGCTATGCTTAAAATTAGCAGAAATTTTAGCCCAGCCGGGCGTGGCTCAGCGGTTGAGCGTCGACCTAGGATCCAGGCGATCGGGGTTCCAGGTCAGGGCACATGCCCGGGTTGCGGGCTGCAGCCGATCAATGACTCTCTCATCATTGATGTTTCTATCTCTCTCTCTCCCTCGCCCTTCCTCTCTCTGAAATCAATAAAGATATATTTAAAAAAAAAAAAAAAAAATTAGCAGAAATTCTAAAGCACACATCATTGTTACTGGCAAATATTTTGTTAAAAAGGCAGCTGAGCCCTGGCCAGATGGCTCAGTTGGTTGGAGCATCGTCTCGTACACCAAAAGATCATGGGTTTGATTCTCTCAAAGAACATACCTAAGTTGTGGGTTCAAGTATGGGAAGCAAACAATGAATGTTTCTCACATAAATATTTCTCTCTCCCCCTTCCTCTCCCTCTAAAAAAAAAAAAAATCAATAAAAACATATCTTCAGGTGAAGATTAAAAATAAAGGCATCTGAGATAGATTTGTATAAAACTAAACACAAGGCAGGCTGTGATGAATGCTGAAGCAAAAGGCAAAATCAAACTACAGGAACGTGAAAAAAAATTAGAAAATCTTCATGAGGTGATATGTCAGTTGGGTCTTAAAACAGATGTGATTTTAACAGTCTGTGACAAAAGGGAGCATATTAAGTTTGGGTGCAGAATGAGCCAAGACCCCGGGACAGGAAATGGCAGGGGTACTGAGCTGGAACAGGGAGATGAGGAGGGGGCCAAGGAGGCTCCCGCAGGACGGAGTCTCATACCACGCTCGGAAGGGCTTGAGTAGGGGATTAACAAATTGATCCCTGAGATAATTCTGGGAGAGGTGAAAGTACAATGAGAAATCAGAATAGGAGAGAAGGGCCAGGCTTTGTATATAGTCTCTTCATGGAAAGAAAAAAAAAAGGCCTCATGAACAATGAGCTTGGCGAGGAGAGGGTAAAGGCAGCGCCCGTCGTCCAGTGCGGCCTGGCCTTTAAAATGGCTGCATAAAGGGAAAAAGACAAGAACCAGGCCGCGGCATGCAGCCTGGAAGCTGAGAGTTCACTATGGGACACGGCACACAGGAGGAAGGGGGCTGTAGGAGTCTGTTAGGCACCACGCACCCAGCACTGCGGCTCCTTTACAGCCCGGAAGCGAGGTCTGTCAGGGAACCTGGCGATCCTGTACGTGCAGGCATTTGAGAGACTTGGTCCTTGCCTTGGAATCGGTCTGTTTTGTGACATTAGCTTTTACACAGTATTTTCTTTAAAACTGCAGTGTAAAATTCACTTAAAATTACATGTTTTCTTTGTTCCTTGTTTTTTGTAAATCCTCACCCGAGGATATTTTTCCATTGATTTTTAGAGAAAGTGGGAGGGAGAGCGAGAGAGAGCAAGAAACAGTAATGTGAGAGAGAGAGAGAGAGACACTGACTGGTTGCCTCCCGCCTACCCTGACCAGGGCTGGGGATCGAACCCGCAACCCAGGTACGTGCCCTTAACTGGGAATAGAACCCAAGACCCCTCGGTGTGCAGGCTGACGCTCTATCCACAGAGCCACACGTCACATTTCTACAGAGGAACAAGGTGCTTACTGAGGTTGTGTCGAGGCTCTGATGACATGGACCGAAAAAAACTGTGTACTTTCTGACTCTGGAGAAAAGCTTGTGATGAAGTTGAAAATAGCTGCCTGCACATAAAAAGAAAAGAGATCTGTTAATTCATGCAATATAAATACACAAGAGTCTCAGTTTAGACTGTAACACAAACTTAAGTGGCAGTTTAATTTGGATATAAAAAAAAATTGTTTTCCTAAGGAAAATAATATTTTCTAATGTATTTCCCATAGCCGGAACTAATAAAAGTTAACAAAACTTACTTGCAAAAATCTAATAAACAGGCTTTTAGTTTTGTATAATCTAATGGTAAGGTTTCAATTCTGGCAAAAAATGTATACTACTTCAGCCTTTTGCTCAAGTGGTCCAGTCTTTCTGCTCAGAAAAAGAAGTACACTTCTTCATAGGTATGACCTTTCATCATTTGGCGTGTCATAAAGAAACCTTCCTACACTCTAGACACAGGAGATGGAAGTCTGGGATGCTAAGAGTCCTGGAAACTATGGAGCATAGTGGTCAGGTCAGTTACAAGTATTACCACATTCTAAGGCATGACTAAGCGATGATTCATTTTAATGTGTATCACACCATGACTGTAAGCTGTTATCTCTGAAAACCAGCTTTCCTCATATTTTATTATTATAATTAAAAGCTTCCAACTGGAGGTCTGCCCTACAAAAGGGGCCCTACAAAAAGGGACACAGCTACAGCACGGTCTAATGGAGTGTCTACTCATGACTCTGAACACCAGCTGAACCACTGAACAGCTGAACCACCCCCAACAGGCCTTTCAGCTTCAATTTCCTCACAGGGGATACTACCAATTCTTCAAGGTTACCACTCAGAAAGTATAGGTAAATTATACTGTAACCCTGCTGCTCAACACACAAATCCCCTTCCATGACTTTTGAACACTTTAAATGCTCATTTAAAATTTTAATTCTTAATTCCTCCCCAAGATTTCTGACCTTTCATTCAGATTAATTATAAAATCATTAAATACCACACCAAGATATGGCCCTTACGGGCCAAAGTTGCCTTATACATAAAGCAAAATTGCTTCTTGGTACTCAAAATGTGGAGGTAAATAAATATTCCATAGGAAGACAAAGAGGGGGAAATGAACAGATAGAAGAAAAATTGAGATATGAAGAGGCACATCTAAACTTCCAGGTCTGAACACATAACCTAAAACTGGGGATAAAATCCAAAGGCAACGGTAGAACCTATTCTCCAGTTACGAACCAGCTGGTCCAAAGGACAAGCAGGCACACCTTTGATTCAAAGCTTAAGTCACAAAAGAAGGCCAGATCCAACCTGCAACTCCACATGTCAACTGCAAGTCCACTACAGGAACCATGACTGAGATGAAGGACCAGGCTTAAAATCAGTGTAGAGATTGAAGTCAAGGGTCATTAACTCCTAACCACAGCACGGCGATCCCACCTGCATGAAAAAGTCTAAATGGCCACAAACTCCTTCATGCAGTGACGAAGAGAAGAGGACCACACTTCGCCGTCACAAATCATCCAACCTCAAGTGTACATTTCAGGGCCACGTTCTCATTTCCCTAATTTATAGTGTACTTGGGACTGAATGCAGTGTGTCCTGTATCAACCATCTCTACTTCACTTATAGACTCATTTCCTATTTCTCACTTGCACTGTACCCCCTCATACACCAAATACACCAAAAAATTGCTGTATTTCTTAAGCAACAAATGATGATACTAATCTAAAATTCACAAACTGAGAACTAAGTGTCCTAATATCCTATTTAACGGTGTTGAAACCACAGGATAGCCAAACAATTGAATTCAAAAAATGATTCCAAAGAGTTTTTTAAAAAGGAAGTATTAAAAAAAATTTTTTAACATAATTTTTGAGGAAAAAAGGCTTTTCCAAGCAGAACACAAAACCCTGAAATCATAAAATACTGACAAATCCATCTATAATATGTACATAAAATTTTCAACTATCTGCATAGTCGAGAAATGACAAACAGGATTTTTTCTTTAATATAACAAATAATTCTTACAAATTAGTAAGACAAATAAAAATGTGGAAAGACCTGAAAAAGCCCATTCACAGGGAAGTGCAAGTGGCCACTCAAATGCAGATTAAAATGAGATGTCTTTTTTTTTTCAGACTGGCAAAGATGAGAAATTGAGAGTATTTTACGTCTGCTGAGGTGTAGACATACAAATACAAGGCTTACAATTGGACATACAAATAAATGCTAGGGTATAAAGTGTTGCTATCTCCTTAAAAGTAATTTGGAAATATTGCCTATTAAAAAATGCATAACTTTTGCCCTAGCCAGTTTTGCTCAGTGGTTAGAGCATCAGCCCACAGACTGAAGGGTCTCGAGTTTGATTACGGCCAAGGGCACCTATCTCGGTTGCAGGCTTGGTTCCTGGTTGGGGCGCATGCAGGAGGCAACTAATCAATGTGTCTCTTTCACGTCAATGTTTCTCTCTCTCTCTCTCTCTCCCTCCCCCCCCTCCACTCTCTCTGAAAAGCAATGGAAAAAATATCCTCCGGTAAGGATTAAAAAAAAAAAGCATAACTTTTGACCAAACAATTCTAGAAATTCCTCTTACAGATACATGTATTAAATGTTTACAGAACATTAATGTAGACATTCACTATAATACTGTTTGTAGTAGCCTAATATTTAGGACCCAAAATGGCTGTAAAATATACTGATTAAGTATGGAACACCTAAAAATGGAATATTGTGAAGCAAAAAAAACCTAGGCGGCAATCTTTTTACATGTGCTGACCTATTACTATGTCCAATATAGGGTGGGCAAAAGCAGGTTAACAGTTGTGAGTGCATGAAACAGTTTATTATTGTATTATTATTTATTAATTATTGCATTATTTTCCATATCAACCATAAACCTACCTTTGCCCCACCCTATATATTTAATGAAAAGAGTAAGTGCCAGAAAAGTGTATAGGATAATGCAATTTGTACAGTAAAGGAAATACACACAAATGCATAAATTCAAGGATGTATGCATGCACAGAAAATTTCTGAAAAGCCGTATGAGATTTTAATGAAAGCTACCTCTAGTGACTAGATTTGGAGAAAGGGAAATTAGAGGCTTCTCACATTACACTTTCCTTTGCATTCTTCACAAATATCTTGAATAAACACTTTTATAGTAAATAGGCTAGCTTAACACACACCCCGCCCCCATGATCTACGCCATGGAGACCCCTAACAGCTATGAGTCAGACACAGACCTCTTAAATGTGGTCTTGGCCAAGAGCCAAATTTCTGAAAATGGCTCCTTATGGAAATATTTTCTCCTTCTGGAAACCTCAAACTTACAGAAAAGTTGCAAATACAGTAAAAAGGATTTTTTTTTTCTGAACCATAAGTAGCTCATCTCTGATGTCCCCACACCTGGTAAGACACTAGTATCTCCAATAAAGACACTGTCCTAGAATCAATATCAGGACATGACCACTGATAAATTACGAGCTCCTGAGACTCCATTTCAGTTTTGCCACTTGACCCTAAAGTCCGTTTGTTCCACACAGAACCACTTTGGACCCTGTGCTGTACCCAGCAGCCTGGCTGGCTCCTCAGCCCTCTGTGACTCTTGTGGGTTTAAGAGGACAGCCCACGTATTCTGTCGGGTTTGTCTGATGTTCCTTAGGGATTAGATTTCCCGGCAGGCATATCATGGGCCTGAGGCTATGTTCCTTCCCTGCAGCCTATGGTGGTGAGCGATGTGATTGACCCTCACTCATCAAGTTCACCTTACTGGATTAAAGTGGCTGGCGTCTGTTAGGCCTCTCCACTCTGAAGTTACTCTTCCTCCCTTTATTAGAAAAAGCATTACTTTGTGGGAAAGGACTTTGATATTATAAATATCCTATTCCTCAAATTTTTAATCTGTTAACTTATTTATTTCAAGTGCACTCATGATTTCCTGTTTTCTTCAGTGTTATTATTTATTTGGATGTCCGATTTGCCCACTAGGAGCCCCTTCCAGCTGGCTTGTGTGTCCTTCTGGCCCAGCCACATCATTCTTCGAGCACTCCCTTGCTTCCTGGCCCAACAGGCTCATCTTGTACTTCTCCTGCTCCAGCCCTGCAATCAGCTTTTCCTCATGGAGCCCTAGTTCCATTTAGTAGAGAAGGGGGCTACAAGTCTACCAGGTAAGCCCACTGCTACTGGGGTGTGGCTGCTTCCAGACTCTTTCAATGAACAGAGCCGGGGAACACATGTGAACATATTTCTGTATCTACTTACATACACCGAAAGTCATGAGCTTGCACTAGTATCTTCAATTCTGGAACATCACACTTGAGGGTTCATTCTGGTTTTCTCCTGTCCATACTATTACTCCCTTCTCCAACAGAGAGAAACCTGGTTCTATTAAAATATTTACTAATTCGGCCAATTCCTCTGTAGGAATCTACCTTCCACTGTCACTGCTACTCCCTTCCAACCTCTGCACAGCTACCCTCCTGACCCCATGTGGGCTCCAACATCCTGCTGGAACCACCCCAAGTTTATGCCCTCGGAAACACAGTGCCCCTCCCACCTCTATCTTCTCTTCCTCTCTCTCCCAGCACACAGGATGTTTTGGAAGTTAACCCTAGACAGGGTTTGTGCCCCACTAGCAGCATATGTAACATTCGCCTCACCTACACCGTCTTTTCCAATAATGCTTCAACTTCACAAGAGCAAGACCTGACCTTATATTCCAGTGAACCTCAACTGCCACTGCTGCTGTGCCTGAACGGCCACTGTGCCCGAAACACCATCACTGTGCCTGAACCACCACCATGCCTGAACCACCACCGCTGTGCCTGAACCACCTCTGCACAGAAGAGCGTTGTTCAGAAGTGTTGTGTCCTTTCGCTTTCTCACTCATTGGCCTAATCATACTTGACAATTTAAAGCAAAACAAAACAACACAAAAACATCTCCAAATCTGAGCTCTTGGACAAGGGCCTCTTTCAATAAATATTTTCTGGGGAAAAGTGCTCTGGACAGCCGTTGACGCTGTGACGCTGGGCAAGTGTCCGGTGAACCGTTACCTTAGAATGGGCTCTAGATCAGGATGTCGCCGTTCCTCCCGCTTCAGTGACCCTTGATTCAAGGCTCTCAGAATGGTCTTGTCAAAAGTCTCTGAAGACAGTTCCTTGGGAAGCTGGAAAAGAAAAAAGAGCATGGCCAGGGTTTAGTTTCTCACTTGCTGGTAAACATGCATGTTACAAACCCAGGCACAGAGGCAGATAAATAGCTCCTGCTCAGGAACCACTTCAAAGCAGCTCCTTTCTAAATCTTCACATGCAGGGCCCATACTGAAGCAGCACAGGTTCCTCCACTAGGAAATACGCCATCTGCCTTCCGGACACACCTCAGGGCATCCCAGGGAGCAGGTCACTTGGCAGCACTCAACACGCTGCTGGGACATACCTGCATATACCTCACACTCATACTCCCACATGCACACTAAGCAACACCCACACCGAGGTTCTCAGTTAAAAGGAATGTGTGCACAGCACAGTCACTATTATTTTTATCCTATTACGCCTTTTACACTGAAGCTCAGGCAATGTCAGGCTACCAGTGCTAGATGCCAAATGAAGAACTGGATGTGGAAAATGGGGTGAAAATTCTTAATCTAACTTACATTTAAAAAACAACACTAACTGAAGGTTTAGTTACCTCTGCCTCAATGTGGTGGAGATGCCCTCGGAGCAATGTACAAGAAACCACACAAAAAACAATCACTTGGCCAGGAAGGTTTTTAAATTAAAAACAAAATTTGAAGTCATTCTATTTAGTAACTAATTTCCTTTTATAAATTCTTAATAAAAAATTCTATATAAAACTGACTTTCCAAGTCTTTCAAGAATTCAACATTTTAAATTTGACTTTTGATACCTAGTCTTTGCAACGAACTCCCAAATTACTGGCACTTTCACTAAAATTAAGAGTAGAACCATTAACACAGTCTCTTAAGAGCCCCAGGAATAGAACAATCTATACAAATGGTCAGTTTACGGACTGATCTTTAACTGGAGAAGCAGAACCCAAAGTAAGTATTCGTCTGACAAATCAGAATTGAGTCAACAACTCACAAATGGAAAATTCAACAGAGGTAGCAAAAAGTATTCTTAATTTTGAGCACAGTGAGACTGTGGAAGCAAGATGTTATGTGAGAATGAAGCTTTTTTATTAACCTGTTGAGGTCGAAGGCTCTGCTGGCATCCCACACACCCACTCTGGGCCTCTGACCACTAACAGGAAGAAACAAGTTCTGGATCGACACATTTTCTACAGAAATGACTATTCATTTCAAAATTTACATTTTGATATCATTGTCTTAATAGATTTAGGATACTACATATATCACCCCCATTTTAAATAAGATTTCTCCTGAATATGTGTACATAGCATTAAAAAACCAGCTCCATGGAGAAGTCTGTTTCCACTACCCAATTGCTGAAGGCTCTTCTAGTACATCTATTTTCACCTGCTCAATGACTGTTCACGAGACCAGGCAGTGTGGATGTTGGGGCAGAGTGGATGTGTAGTCATCGGTATTTGCACACTGATCTACTTTCAAGTGGTTTTTATCTTTAATTTACAAAGACTATTTCCAGTTCTAGAGGAAGGCATATTTGCTAAAAATCTCTCTTTCAATCATGTCTCTTCTATTCTAGTCACTGTTCTGGATTTTTTCACCTCTGGGTCTTGGTTCCAGCACACCCAGGCCTCCCACCCTGAGTGCTGGGAGGTTCACACCTCATTATCACAGATGTTTTTTAACAATACTGAGGCCTAATGGATAACCACCTATAAGACCTCATCACAATTTAGTTTTTGTAACTTCTTGCTCATTCATTCAGTCAACGAATATTCAAACTCCACCCCAGTCCCGGGTGCTGTTTTGGCACTGTGGGCACAGCAGCGGAAGAAGAAACAAAGCCCTGCCTCTGTGGAGCTTCCACCTGGTCCTGAGAAACACCAGACAGGGTGTCAGGTGCTAAGGAGCAGCAGGGGGAGGAGGCTGGGAGGACACGGAGGACAGATGTTGCGGTGTATGGAAAAGAACGTGAAAGCAGTGACCTCAAACTCTCTTCCACATTACAGCAAACTAGAGGTTTGGTTAAACAGAAGCTACAAAAGTTAGAATGTATAGGCTGTCAACAGTTTTTGCTCTTAACTTTTGTAGATGACTTTAAAAGGAACGTAAAAAAGAAAAAAGATATTAAGGAAATGTGAAAGTGTATTTTAAATAGGTAATTAATTTCTAGACATACACAATATGTTGCCAATTATTGATATAACTTGATAAGGCATTTGTTCTATTTTAGAAAAATAGTAATAGTCAAATGTTGGCTAAGCAGGGGGGTCATTAATTACCATAACTCTGAAGAGTGAATTATTTATTTGGGGCTGTATTTTTTTCAAGTACCTAAGCTTTTAGAAAAATTGTGTAACAAAAATGAAATGTGTCAAGACAGACAGCAGCTGAAGTTAGGATAACCCAGTGGGAGAAAGAGACTCTGCCCAGGTGCCAGGCCCCAGGCTGGGGGTCAGTCATGTGCTCTCTTGGCACAGGGGACAGGTAAGTAGCAGCCCCATTCAAACTCGGTAAATAACCAGCCTTGACAGCTGGCAGTGCTGGACCCCACCAAGCCCGAATCTATACTGCAGGGTATTTCAGCCTTAGCTCTCTATCCCCTGCAACCCACCCTCCAGTACTAGAATTTGGTCAGGGAAAGGGCAACAGAAGGGAAATGAAGCACGCCGTTTTCTAACCCAAATGAGGCCTCTTCATGATTACCTGACCTAAAACTTGGATATATTTATTCTGTCAAGAGAGGAAAGTCACAAATAAGTAGAAGAGAATTTAAAAGCACATGTGTGGTGGGGTGAGGCCACCCTTCCTTATTCCTCAACAGGCAGGACAACAGAAATATTCAAGTCGTGCCAGGGAGTTCACCCCGCGGGACTGACCCTGCCGGCGCCTCCTATGCTGCCCACAGCTGCGCAAGCTCCAGCTCTAAGGTAAACAGAGACCCACGTGATCTGAAAGAATGGCTTTATGGTGACAAGCACTGTCCTGAAAATTTCATGTTACTGGTTCAAAAACTATGTCACATCTTTACCTAAAAGTTAATAATTCAGTTGGGAATGTTTCCTGCTTCTGGACTTTGTTTTATCTCTGTATTAACTATAAATTTTAAAATACCTGCTTATTGGGAAACAGTAATTTATTGGTTAACCATTTAAACCTACTCCCTTATTTTAATATTTATCTCTACCACACACTTTTCAATAAAATAAAATTAGTATAAAAGAAACAGGTGAGAGTTTGAACAAGATTATCTAAGATACCTTTCACCTCTGCGAGTCTGGGAGATGTTTCCATTATCCCGTCTTCTCAATACTTTGGAGATTCTATCATTGTGGGAGTGGAGGGGGATATGGAACTCAAAGGAGGAACAAATGGAGATATGTTTACGAAAGTCCACAAAGGGAGCTGAATAGCTGTTTGAACCACCACCAAATGCAAACAAGCCTCATCTCATTTTGCAGACACACACTTTCAAAGGATGTACTCCTGCAAGCAGCCACCAACAATACATATCTCGGCAAGGAAGTTAGAAATAAGGTTTCATTTTTTTAAAATGTTGAAAATCCCTCATCATTTCTTTATATTGGTAACGTAAGGGAAGAAAACTTACGTTTAGAATAACACGACATTTATAAAGTCAACGTTCACGGAGAGCTCCCCAACCTGTATATAGGTGCTTTAATTTTTCTGAAACTTATTTTGATATAAAGGTTTTCAGATTCTGTATATTATGTAAAAATCATTTTAACAACAAAATCTATACTTTTACCTTCAGTAGAAATTCCTGTAGTTCTTGGTGGGTTTTTGTTACTGTAGTGACTGAAAGATCAGACCAATTTACCTGATTAAAAAACACACACACATATTATATGGTTATTTCTTAGGTGGGGAAACGGCTAGAAAAAAGCCATGGGTAAAACAAAAAGCCTTACTTAAATTCTATTAAAATTAGAAATATAAAGTTACTCTGGCATTGTCATCATTTCTTCAAAATTGTTAAAATTAACTCTACACTGACACATTCTACTCAAAAATATCTTAGTAACTCCTTGCAAATCACATGGTTTGTTTGTTTTTTAAAAAAAACTGTCTTTAAAAATATGTGACCATATTCTGGTAACTTTTCAGAAAGAGGAATGTCTTACATTCCCTTGGTGAAGCTATAGGACTCTAAAATAACACTCTGACAGTGCAGCTCTATGCCCCAAGGAAGATAAGAATTCTATCTCCTGGAATTTAGGAAATACACACTCTTAAGAGAAATAATTAGGGCCTACTACCCTCGTTGGTAATACCATATTGTATTTTTATGAGGATTTATGAAGAGATTTCAACTTCATCTCAATTCTTTAAAATCCTAATAAGGTGGATAGGGCAAGTATGATCCATTTAAAGATGGAGAAACTAAAACTCAAAAAGGTTAACTTACTTAGATTAAACCCTAAGTAAATGCAGAGCCAGACTGAAGTTTATTATGCCGCCTTACCTCTTGGATACCTCTAATACAGTGGACCTGATGGTGGCCCACTAATAATTTCTACTTTACAATTATTTGAGCTGAGTAAATGCTTGAACTATGCTAATATCTAAGGCTTATCAACTAATTGTATAATCAATCAGACACTTAAAAATACAGTAAGTCCTCACTTAACATCATCAATAGGTTCTGAGAATTAAATAAAACAACGTATGGTAAGACCAATTCTACCAGAGGCTAACTGATAAAAACAAGAGTTAAGTTCATAGAGCATCTTATTAATGCTATAATGAAACAATGTTACATGAAAAATTGTTATTCAAGGACCTACTGGACAAAGTTTTATCCAGCAACCCTCAAAGCAAATATCCTTATTAACCGACACATCCTTTAGATGATTTTTTTTAGTTATTCAAATGTTTGTTGAGCAGCTACTTGTGTCAGACACTGTTTCAGTGAAAGGGATACAGGAATGGACAAGACAGCCCAAAGTCGCTGCTGGCTGAGGTCACTCTAGTGTAGGAGACAGATGAAACAAATGGCTATATAAGGATCCCCATCAGCGGTCAATGCTCCAAAGAAAATGAGTAGGGCATGGTGCAGGAGCAGGAAGAAGCCCATCAGACGGGTGCCAAGAAAGGCGTCAGAGGAGGGTGCGTCTGAGCCAATCTGTACGCTGAAGGGACAACAGCTGTGCCAAGGTCTGAGGGTAGATCATTCCAGGGCAAGGGGTGTAGGCTTTAAGGAAGGAACAATCTAAGAGCTCCAGGAACAGAACAGAGCTGGTAAAATTGAATGAAGACAGCAAAGAGCGGCGTATGCCACATGTTACAAAACTGTCGGTGGAGAGTCGACTTAAAATTTGCAAACTGAGGATGTTTCTCCCACAAAGCAAAAGCCAAAGTTCCGAAATTCGTTCAACAAATGTACTGAGTCAGATATGATAGGATGACAGAGGATGAAGACTTCTGCTCTCCATGAGACAATAACCTACTGGAAAGAAAAAACACGTAACCCAAATGTAAGAACCTGTGACAGGTATGATGTAGTGTATCTTGGATGAATGAAAAAACACTTTGTTGGAGGATCAGAAGAGGCTTCATGAGAAAGGTACAGCTAACATTTGGCAAGCAGTACCTTTGGGGAGGAGCTGAAGTAGGAAACACAGAAACATGGAGTCCTTCCATGTGGTTCAAGGTGTGTACGACCTTAGGAGAAAGGGCTAGACAGGGAAGCCCAAGCAGGGAGGGATAAGAAAGATGTGGACAAGGAATCCACGTGACAGTGAGCAGGCAGAAAGGAGACCTGCGGACTAAAGGAGGTGGGCTTTAAGGCTAAGTAGCGCTGTTTGAAGGACAGAATGACAGGAGAGCAATTAGAGATAAGAAGACAAGGCCACGAAGGCCAGGGAATAAAACCATCATGGGGAAAGAAAAAGAGGAGAAAAATATCAGGGAAGCAATGCCAGGAAAAGACAAGGCCTGTGATCCTGATTTTAAAAATACTGGTGGAAAATGCTTACTTTTACTTTTTAGATACATCTTACACCTTATATCTAAGCTCTTTGTTGTTTTTAATAAAACTGTCAGAGTAATTTTCATGTGGTGGTATAATTTTTAAAACTTGGCAAACCATGCAGAACACACTGAAAGCAATACATTCCCTTAATTTAGACAAATGTATACATACGTATGGCTTTTCTAAGTTAGCAAACCTGCCAGAAGATCAATTCTCATTCTTTCTGAAAGATTATTGAACATAAAATATAAGGTATCTTTTGTGGGTGAGAGTAGCTTACTTCGAAGGTGTACTCCCAATATTTGTCAGCCCTTTTTCTCTGGACTCCTTTCAACATTATCTTCTCAATGTGTACAGCTGAAAGAAAGAAAACATGCTGACTTGTTCTACAGAGACTAGACACACATTTCAGTTACCCGATGTGACAAATGCTACACGATTAAACTATTTATCTTCATCTTTACTACTGCCCTTAAATCATGATTAAGCACCAGAAAAACCCCAGAAGCAAAGCAATGTGCCATCCATCCATGAAGTAACTTTCTCTGTATCATGCGGCATGCTGAGTGCCTAAGCAGTTTCAAGCACTCTGCTAAGCACCAAAGATAAAAAAGATAAATAAAAGGTGCCTGCAGTGAAGATTATTTTAGAGATGATAATCATCAAAACTGTTTGTTATTAGATTACTACAAATACAGTACTTCAGATTCATTCAAAAGAAATAGTACTTAAAAAGTAATGAGACTGGTAGTAATGAAGATGATAAAGGTCTTGGGGAAGAAATTAGGGAAGTGACTCAACGGACTAGCGTCACTGCTAGATTCAGGGGGCAGGAGATGGAGAAGAGGAGGGAAGGATTCACTTTGCCTTAGAGGAAGAAGTTAAAACAGATGAAGTAGAATATACAAAGTAATAAAAGTATACAGGAAGAATTAAGATTGTTATAGATCACGGAAGGTGGGCAATGAGAAAGCAGGAAACAAGATACAGAAATTTGCTGGTAAGCAGACATTCATGAAAAACTAAGGAGATCTCATTGCCAGTATTTTGTGACAAGTTTCCAAATATACAGTGTTTGGTGGCTTGCTTCTGGGCCAATCTTCCCTTAGTGGGTGAGAAATGTTAAGGATGGAGACAAAAGAATCTCAAGAACCAGAACTCCCGCAGTATCATAAAGGCCAACAAGGGAAGGGAGGATCTACTGCTTTCAAAAGCTTTTCTATTAACTTATGTAAAGGATGATGCTATTAAATAAAAGCCATCTGAACTAATCTATGTTCAGAAATATAAAGCAGCTCTATTGCTGCAAATTGGTGGGCTACAGGTAGGGGACAACCAGGGCATTTGGAACATGGCTATGTCTTCAGCCTTGATTTCAAGTTATACCTGCCGTGATCTATCAGAATCGAGACGAGAGGACAAAAGAGTATGTGGTGAGGATGGCCGACAATGGGAGAGCCTGCTCTAAGCTTCATACATTACAACTAAAAAGCATGGATTACATACATTTGCTTAAAAATTAAGAATATAACAAAAATGATCTATAGTACCACCTTAACTATTAGCATTTTGATGTAGCCATTTTAAAAAATAGTTTTATTTTTTTTAAAAAAGGATATTCATTGTAAAACCAAACTCTGCTTTAGGTGACTCCCATGTTCAGTAAATAGTCTATGATTCAAGTACTGTGACAGTCTTGATTAGAAATTTAAACTTTTTTTAAACATTAAACAGTCATACCCATTCTTCCTCTGGAAAATGTATTACACCAAAAGGATTATTATTAGGACTAGAAAGACACGACATAACGTCAATTCCAAGCAGTGATAACTGAGCTTCTCATCCGTCCTTCACTCTTCCAAGGCTAACAGGTGGCAGTCTACATTTTCCATTTCTGTGTTCCCCTGAACACAGGTAGTTGACTCCCCACATGCTAAGGGAATGTCTGAACTCATTTCTTTTTACATAGGAATGTCTTTTCATTCCCCCATCCCCAGCCCTCTTGAAAACTGCATTATTGTAGGAAGCATGGCCTTGTAAGGAATTTCTTCTCTTACAGCGAACTTCTATAAAATTAATTTTTCAGTAGACACGGAGCACATCCTACAGATAAAGCCCTATACTAAAGACTCTGGAATATGTCAAGGTCTTTGCACTCCAGAGATATGTAACCAGATTTAAGACAGCTGACTACAAGGCAGAGCGAAGTAAGCAAACACTAGGACAGGCTGAGTGCAGTGGAGTGGGAGCCCAGACACAGACTCACCCAACAAGTGGGAGGACTGGCATTTGAGACAGACCCAGGACCAGCAGGCTTTTTCTACTCCAAAAAGGAGGCAGAAGAATTAGAGCAAACCAATGTCAATAGCACTGCAATCTTTCCACTTATAGATGCTTTAAGTTAGCAAAAAATACAGCATACCTTCTCGCTGGGTTCTATGAGGTGCCACAGTAAGTCCGTCATGAGGTATTGGGGCTTGTTCTATTAAACTGGCCTCGTTACTTTGCACGTAATCACCATGAGCAGAGTCATTCTAGATCAGAAAAGGGGGCACATGTTAATTGACTAAGAAGAGTACATTCCATAAGAATAAACCAGATTAAAGTCTATACTTTTAATAGCAACCATTTTTTTAAAAAAATATGTCTTTATTGATTTCAGAGAGAGGAAGAGAGAGGGAGATAGAAACATCAATGATAAGAGTCATTGATTGGCTGCCTCCTGCACGCCCCCTGCTGGGGATCGAGCCACAACCTGAGCACGTGCCCAGACCAGGAATCAAACCTCGTCGATGCTCAACTGCTGAGCCAGAGCTGGCCAGGCAATAGCAACCATTTTAATAGCAATTTTTAGCGATCAAATAGGTGATTATAAAGCAAGGGCAGAAATGTGTAAAGTGTCACAGCAGTAAGGAAAAAGAAGTATCAATATACATCTTCACTTAACAGTAATATTCTATTAATTATTCACTATTCCACTTTTCATGGGACATACTGCATGTTACTATTCAGAATTGCCAATGATGTCAATTCTATAACAGAGTGAAGGAGAATCAAAGCAACATAAATAAAAGGTGGTACCCTTTATGCTAATCCCCCTATGTAAGGGCACTGGTATTTTTGCCATTAATTATTATGCAATTTTTATTCATTACTTGATTTTAGTGGCAGTTTGATGAGATGCTTTGCTAGGAAAAAGTTTTATAAAAGGTATCATCAACACATGCCCAATCTTTCTAAACAAGAATGTGTTTATTACTAATGTTATACCACCTCACAGTAACCGGGTGCTCTAAGTCTAATTGGGTTTGCTCAGCTAATCGTTAGTGAACTGGAGTTTTACCCCTAGGAGAACTGCTGCTTGAAGGGATAGAGAGCATGCTGATGTACACACAGCTCTTCAGAACTCAAACACTGTTGTGCGTGGATTGTTACTGCAATACACTGGTTAAGCCAAAAAAGAAAATGGTTCTTTATCAAAACTCACACCACCCCCGTCCTTCATGTTCATAATCTTAAAACACTACTCAAACCAAAATCGCCTCCGTTTCTTGAACCAATTACAGTTTTACAAATTTGAAATAACATTCATATTTTAAAACTGTGTACAGCCCGGCCAGGTGTGGCTCAGCAGTTGAGCATCGACCTAGGATCCAGGAGATCATGGTTCGATTCCCAGTCAGGGCTCCATCCCCAGTGGGGGGCGTGCAGGAGGCAGCCAATCGTTTCTCTCTCTCTCCCTCTCCTTTCCTCTCTCTGAAGTCAATAAAGATATATTTAAAAACAAAGCAAACAAAAAAAACTGTGTACAGAAATAAAGCAAACAGAACAGCCTAAACTTCCCAAGAATCCTAATATAAACTATTTGGTTCTGCTGTCTCATTATGCATCCTGTCTGACAATGAGTGTGAATTGCCAGTTGACAGCTCTATTTCTGGGAATAAAGTATCACATTCGATACTCTGGGAAGCTAAGCTTCAGCCTTACACAGTAGTCTGTCTTCCTCTAGAAACCCAAGAAACAAAGACTGTCTACACAGAACAACTTAATGAGAACGACGGCACAGACCTCTTAAGTCCACATCCTACTTCTGAAACATGCAGCACTATGGCATTCATGTGACACTTTCCATCATTACTGATTCTTAAAAGCTGGATACATAAATTCTTCTAACGATAACACAATCAATGTATATCCTAACCCAGACCATATAATCATTTACTACAAAGTAATAAAACCTCATTGGCCTAACACTGCTTTTAGTACTTTAAAAATCAATATAAATAAAGCACTGTAATCCTCTCAAATACTTGCGTTAACTGGAAGAAGTTTAGTTGACTAGGTCAACCATTTCCTATAGAATATTTTTCTACCATACTTATATGTGGTTCATAAATTAAAATTACACATACCTTCAAATATAAATAAGTGCAAAATATGCAAAACCCTATAGTTTTCAATGGGGAAATGAAAAAAATCAAAACCACAGTGAGATACCACTAGTGAGACACCACTTCACGCCCATTGGGGTGGCTATTATCCAAAAAACTAAAAATAAAAACAGTAACTACTGGCGAGAATGCGGAAAAACTGGAACTCTTTGCATTGTTGGTGGGAATGTAAAATAGTACGGCCAGACACAAGAGGACAAATACTGTATGATTCCACTTATATGAGGTACCTAGTTCATATAGAAAGGAAGCAGAATGGGGCTAGAGAGAGGGGGATGGGGAGTATTTGCTTAACAGATATACAGGTTCAGTTGGGATAAAAGAAAAGTTCTGGAGATGGACGGTGGTGATGGTTGCACAACAATATGAATGTACTTAATGCCACTAAATTATACAATAAAAATGGCAAATTTTATGTTATATATATTTCACAATAAAAAGTAAAAACTTTAAAAAATTTTATCACGCTGCCTCCACAAATATTATATTTAAGTGATCGTGAGAAAGTGGCTTGCTTCATAATCAAAATCACAGTTTTTAAAGTCTGAAATTACTTTAAGAACACAATTTAGCAACCAAGAAAAAGCCTCCTGGTTTAATAAACTAGGGAGAAAAATGGAGTTTGATTCTATTCAAGGACCTAAGTTCATCAACCCACAAAATACCTGCAAATTAAATTTTCTTTTCCACGCCAAGTCTCAGCATGTATCAATGCTATAAAGTCACCTACACTAGTTTAGAGACTATTTATAAAATTTAAAATTTTATTAATTTTAATAAAAATGTACTCTAAGGCCTCATAAGCTACAGAGATCAGAATCATAGAGTTTACTGGTCCCAACAGCAAATGGTCAGTTCTGCTGTTTCCCTTACTTTGAGGGGGAAGGGCACCATAAAACCTGAGAATTTTGGTTTAATGGAATCTTATAGAGAAGAATTATACCCACTTTCTGTATCCAGTTCAGATTTCCATGAAAATGCAATACAGATGTCATGCCAGAATTGGCATTTACAAAGACCAATTAGAAAGTGTTAGGACCCAGTGAAAAGTGGAGAATGTTTCTCTGCTTGGATTAAGACAACAAAGTTAAAAAATTCTAAGCCTGCAAAAATACACACAAAGACACAAAGAACATTAGTGTGTGCTCCTCCTTTCTACAACTCATTTGAGCAAAGCTTCTTCAGTCCTATGGCAAGCCTCCTCTGAGCTCCTGGTTAGCTAAAATCCACGTGTCAGGTAACATAAGTGAGCTGGACATCTTGTTCATTTCAGAAATTATTCAGATTTAATTTTTACACATGAAGATCCATCACAATTACATACTTGAGATTTCTTAAATGTAGGAAAGTCTGTAAAACAATCAAGTGGCTGGACAGTCTGAAAAAGACTCTTCTTTGAAAACATACCATGAGAACAAAGGTCAAACACAATGGCCTCATTTTACTCTAACGAAGGTCTAGATGGAGTTTAGTTTAGCTCATCTAACAATGCTCTCTATATTTCCTCTAGTCCTTTGATGCAGACTGTAAATTTTAAAATACCTCTTACATTTTGAGAGACCACAGAGAGAGACGGGAGGGAGAAAGCACCTCCAGTCCCCAGTTGTGTCTCCAGACATCCCAGAGCAGAGACCAACAGCCCTCACTATTAGTTACCTGTCCAAATTCCTGGCCCACAGAACTGTGAGAAATAATAATAAAATAGTTGTTGGTTTAAGCCACTAAATTTTGGGGTAACTTGTTACACAGTTATAGATTTCCAATTCTCTTATTTAAATAACCAGGGCTACAACCAAAGCATATGCTGTTACTTAAGTAAGATTCATAGAAAGTCTTGTGTTGAATGTTAGAAAATGAGTCATTAGAAACATTACTGAGATGTCAAATTTTATCCACTTTGGTAGAAGAAGAGGGAAGATGCTAAGGAAAAATTAAGAATTACTTACTGTCTGTCTCTTTAATTGAGAGGATGTGGTCAAGGCAGCGGACATTTGTCTCATCTCTACTCAATGAAATAGCACAACCCAACCCAAAGTAAGGCCTTGAATCACCTACAGCACCTGATGAAAGGCAAGTTCTGGTGTGAGAAGAAACATGGCTGGTAAGTGTATTAAAGTTGTGCTCAACCAACCAAACAAATACAACAGTTCAGAGGGAAGGGGGACCAATGAATCAACAGCTCAGAAACAGCATGATACAGATTTAGCTATGATCACGGACACCGTTCCTATGTAACTTACTGTTTAGTTTAATCGGAAATGAGGGAAGATGACTCAAGAAGACCAAGCAGCAGAGCTCTCTTAAAAGTGACGCTAAATGCACTCTAGCTACTGAACGTGGTGCCAAGGGCCAGATGATTTACTGAATCCGCACATACTCTTCCCTATCACAGCCCACTGACCAGACCAGGCCACTGCAGTCGCAGCTATCTGAGCTATTCTTAACCTGATTATTTGTGAACAGTAGTTATTGGGGAGGGGGGAGGCTGGAACCCAGTGGGTAGAACAAGATGGGCGAGGGAAACTCATTGCTGTAACTTTTTATGTATTTTGGAAACTCTATGAATTTATTACAAATAAAAACATTAAAATTGTAGATGTCATTGTCTTTTCTAGAGAACTGAACTTGTAAGAGGCATGATTAGGGAAGATCCAGCCAAAGAATGCTGATACAGAAGCCTACAGGGAAGAGGGGAATAGAGAACAAAAGAGAAGTGAGGACTGCAGTTTTTACCCAAGAACTGGCGTTGCTGTTTCTATTTCAACCTGAACAGCCCCACCTGTAGTTGACAGGTGGTCCGGCAGAAAATATACATCATTGGACCATAAAACTACAAAGGTCTAGACTGGAGAGGAGAGTGGTAATGGCTTCCCTCCTAGACCAAAGCTGGGGTCCCCCCTCTTTAGCACCAGCATCTGTGCTTCTTTACCAACCTTCTGTTCTCCTACCACAGAAGGGAGAAGCTCTCCTCTTTTAGGAGGTTGAACCAAAAATTGCTACATCCCTGGGCTAGCAGCCCCCAAATCTTTAAATCCCTACTTTGTCAGGATATTTTTGGGTGAGGTGAAAAGAACACACCTATG